CTCACTACCCCATTCTCTACAGTACCAGGTCAAAAAATGATGGCCACATTTCTCAAGCTGCTAACCTCTTACTCCAAGGTGACTTTATCTCTTGTGCTCTTGAAGAGAAGCCATCTAACATGAATTCCCTCATTTTCATCCCTACTTTCTCTTCATTTCTATAATTATCCTCCTCCTACAGCTGTTTTCAGGTATCAAAGAAAGAAGTGCTCTTCCTTTCTATGGCAGAGTCACAAAACTAAAACTTTATGTAAGCAATAAAGGGACAGTGAAGGGAAACTATGATGCCCTATGATGAGAAGGAGATGAATTTGTTTTTAAGGGGAACTGAGTAGACAGGAGGATGCATTCGATATAGCATATGCAAAAGCTTAACATGGCCAGAAATGTTGGATGATGACTGGAGCTTAGGATGCAAGGTTGAAAGCAGAAAAAGCTGAACCTGAGCAAGTGGACAGGATTGAGAAGGTCCCTTGTCTGGCATGTTAAGGGAAGAACCTTTTCCTTAAGTAGGGAACTATCAAAGGATTTAAAGCAGGGGGATGATCTGATCAAATTGGTTGTTTCAAAAGCAAATTCTAGAAGCTTTGAAAAGACTGGGAAAAACAGTACTGAAAGAAATGAGACCAGTAGAGGCTGTTGTAATAATCCAAGCCAAAAATAAGGAGGAGCTAGAATTTGGTAACTAAATCCATACAAAGGAAAAGAAGAAATCTAAGTTTCTAATGTGAAGATCTCAGTGTATAAGAACATAGGAAGAACTTCAATTTGAGACATGTGACTTCTGCAGCACTTGTGCAGCAGCCAATTGCAGGTATCTTGCAGGCATCTTTGAGACTCATGGGAGATTTGCTGGAAACTCAGATCTGCAAGGTGTAGTTTTAATGAAAATGTGTGGATCCAAGTGTGTTTTCAGAAAAACTGCTGAGTTTAAACTAGCTTTGTTGAAAACTAACAATTGCCGAGACATTTTGAAGGAAACTTAGAATCTGGGTTCAGGGCATTGAGTTGGATATGATTAGCATATATGTGCTGGTTCAGTCCATGGGAATAGAGGAATATAAAGAATGATAATAACAAAGGGTGGAAGGCTGGGCCATAAGGAATGCCAAGTTTTTTGAAGAGTGAACTGTGGGGAAAGAACTTAGGAAGGATATTGCCATGTAACAGCCACTCCCTGGTACAGCCTTCTGGTCTCTGCCTACAGCAGTCTCCCTTCTCCATTCTCCAGTCTTCCTTGCACCATTTACCCACCTGCTAGAAATACTTTCCTAAAATAAAAATCAAGTTATGTAACTTACCAGAACAGAAATCTTAGTTGGCTCCATACTTGTCTATACTCTTCCTTGTTTGTTGTATGCACACCTTTTCCTTAATAGATGCTAATCTCTTGGAGCACAGGGGCTCCTGCTCACTCAGCTTTGTATCCCCAGAGCAAATAACATAATACCTTGCTCTTAGAGTGGTGCTCCTTAAGTATTTGTTGTTTTTAATTGGCACAATTAGCATCCAAAATTACAAATCATGATCAAGACAGTCTTCACTTTTTCTTATAATGTGCTTCTCGCAACTGCATCTTAATGCAGGGGAATTTATTTTTCCTTAGGGAAGAGCATTATAATTGGTGGATTTAGCATCAGATAAATCAGATATCAGTAATAAATTCTAAAATCAAAGAAGCAACTCCAAACTTACATGAATATTTCAAATCATAAAATTGTGCTCCCAGAAACATAATTTTAGCAATAGAGGAAACCTGTCTAGTCTTATCTAGAGCTTGTCTAGCCCAGTGGTTTATAAACTGATACCTATAGAGCCCTATTCCTCAGGGCCCTGGGGAGTAGAGCAGGGAGGCAGTGAATCCAAACCTAGATTCACCCAGAGTAATTCTACTTTCACGTGTTTATGTATGAGGCTTTCAAACAATATTGTATTCAAAAATAGTTTTGCTGTGAAATCAGTTTGGAAAACACTAGCGTAACCTTCAGGCTACTTCTCTAACCTACCTTGGTAACTCTGGGCCTCCATTTCCTCATCTGTAAAATAAGAGAATGGTGCTATAATAGTTTATGCTTTTATTCTGAGCCCCCTATCCATTTTCAAGTTAAAAAAAAAAGACCTCAAGAGAGGTTAAGTGGCTTACTCAGACCACATAGAGTTAATGGGGTAACAGAGATGAGAATTTAACCACCGACCCTAGTTTTTATTTCTTTTCATCTCTTGCCTCCTTTTTTAAAAAATTCCTACAAAGTAGATATAAACAACTATAGATATTAATTATATGGAAAAGGTAGATCTATCATGAGGCATATAAACAGCATGTAAAAATAGAGCTATACCTTATCATAAATTTGCCTTATTTAAAGATGGTGTGCTGGCTACAACATACATTGATTGAACATTTACCTAATTTTATATTCATTCTTCAAATTTAGAAAAATATTTGGGTGAGTTGTTTGCATGTCCCGTTTCTCTTTTGCAGAGCTATTTATGAGTTGTTTTCTTCTTTGTAAATTTCCAAGTAATCAGTGGAAACATTTAAAATCATTTCATTACTCATTCCTTTCATGTTTAAGTCTCATTGCATCTAAATTTAAAAGCATCACTAAGAAGTGGTGAGGGTTGGGAAGCAGTAGTCTCTAGATTCTGGTCCTTTCATTCATCATCTTTGCTTTGCTCATCTTCCTCTCTTCATCCCCTCCTCTCCAAATCAAGGGTATCCAGGAAGAGGAAACGAAGTCACAGAACAACTGTCTGAGAGGTGTGTGTGGAAAGGAGGGAAAGAAGGGCAGTCATACTCCTTGGCCTTGTTAATGGTGGGGGGTGTTTATGGGCTGATTGCACACCAGCCTTCGGGGCATTTTTGTTTAAAAATAAAATAAAACAGCTCACAGAGACACCTCCTTCTTCCCCCTCCTTCTGCCTCCATGAGTAACTCCCATATGGCGTGCTGCTGCTGAGACCAAGGAATGAGTGAGTAAAGGTGTTTAGAAGTGAAATATTGGTCCTAGTTAAGTAAGTGCCCTTTTCAAATAAGTGTTAAAACTTTATAATGTGGCTCCCCTACTAACTTGGGAGTCATAGGATTTGAACACAGACTAAGCCACATCTGCATCATAAAAAGGGAGTTGGGTATGCCAGTTACAGTAACACACTAATTAAGTAGGAAAAGCAGCAGGGACAATGTTTAACCTACTTAAACTTTCTGAGGACATCATAGCATCCATTTTACATGAACAGATTATTACAAGCAGGATTGGTAAAACCTGCACGTAGCAATATGTTGTTACTCATTTGTCAAGGTCACAACAAATAATTAAGAGTAGCATTGACTTAACAGTGATATATAACTTCTCTCCCCTCAACCTCTGGAACAGATTCAAATTGATGAGAATTTCTGAATAGAGCTGTTATATTGAGTCCTTTTTAAAAAATCCAGTAGTTTTATCAAGTCTCATATATAAACATATATTTATGGTAAGATGCCAGTCTTGCCACAGGCAAAGAGATAGAAATAATACTTAGACCTTGTAAAGAATAAAGCATCTTACCATTAATTTGATTGCTATGTTTAGAGTTTATTAATATTTCATAAGTCTGCAAGAAACTGGAGAAATTCCATTATGGTTGATGCTTTCTGAGGAAGGTTTTAATGATTTTCTTTGTTTGTTGCTCTGTTGGGTGAGGGCAGTCTGAATTAGTCCTTGAATTTGAAATTTTCCATGTGTATGTACTCTTTTCCCCAAACACATTTTAACTGACTCCTATCAACTTCACTGGTAGAGAAAAATCAAGATGTCATTGATTCTTTTGTTGTTCTACCAAACTGGGTCACTTAACTACAACACCCACCTTTTACCACTAAGTCTCCTCATTCTTTAATTCTTATTTGTATTACATGCTTTATTTAATGCTGTACAGTTAGCAGTAATACTCACATAATTATGGTCCAGGAAAGTATAGTATCCTCTTGAAATCTTTATCATAAGAAAAGTAATATCTGTTTAAAGATACTCAGTGCCAAATCTTGCTGAAGAATGATCTTATAGAAATCTGATTATGAAGGAGGAAATCTAAAAAAGCAAAACAAGCTTCAGTAGAGATAATATTGGGAAAGAGTAGTTACTCAAACAAAACTGAAAGAGAAGGGTGTGCTCCTTTTCTTTCATTTTATTTTGGTTATTTGTTCCTGGATTTTTAAAAATTTAAATAGGAGGAAAAAATAATTAGGGAGATATGGTGTATCTCTTGCATTTGTATATAATTCAAAACTTTAAAATTTACATTTTCTTTGTGGATGTTAAATGAATCCTTTCTATAACATGTAATTCTCTCTAAAAAAAACATTTGCAGTCTGTTTTATAGCAACATTGCGTTGATTTATAAAATACTGTGTCACATCAAACTCAATCTCCCACAGTATACTTTCATTTAGAGTTAATGTTTCAAATTCTAGAGGAAGCATCCAATAGAGTATAATTTGGTACCACTGAAAGTGCTTATTAATATGTTTTTCCTCACAAAGGTGCCATTTATAAAACAAGATATACTGAACACATTTTGTAGATTTAAAGAGCTTTCAGATTCAAAATCTTGCATATAGTTTAATGAGTATTACTATGAAATATAGAGTATACTAAAAAGATTATAAAAGAAAGATGCAGCGTTGAAAGGTAAATTTAAAGCTTAAGCAATATATACTACATAATATTAGGAGATTAATTTAAACTGATTCACAACTGACTTTTTCTTGCCACCTGAGAGCTGACTTTATTTATAAAGAGTGCTTAAACTATCTGGAGAACTACTTCTTTAGTTTTCCATAGGAGTGAGTATGTTATGCTGATAACTATTCCTGCTCAGGACCAGCACAGACATTCTTGTTCTGAAAAGGCATATTCTCTCCTCATTCAGGAAGTTGGTAGACTTTCAGCATGTGGATATTGACTGTGTTGTCTTCTCTCATGTTTGACTTACTCCTTGTTTTTCTTCTTCCACAGCAGTCAGTCCATAAGGACAGGTCCCAGGATTTCAGACGGGGCTTAGAGTCTATGACACGGTAAGCAACTTCTCCTCCTCAATAATTTGCAGCGATAAAGAGTTGGGTGATGTTTTGTTTTGTTTTGTTGTTTTACTTTGTATTTTTCTCCTATGCAATTGTTTTTACAACTTTATTGAGGCATAATTGATAGATTATAAAATTCATACATTTTAAGAATATAATTTAACATTTTTGATAAATTTCCTGAGTTGTGAAACCATCATAATCCAGTTTGAGGACATTGTCATTGCCCCCAATAAGATTCCTTATGCAAGTTGGGTGCTTTTTTTTTTTTAAGTAAGGACAATTTCTCCATTTCACTTTTTCATAACATATTATCTATCATACTGTAAGTTAAATTTCAAATAACTGATTTTTAAAAGAGTTTAGCTAGTTTAAGAATATTTTCATAGTTGGGCTTTGAGAATACATATTATTACAGAGTTATAAGCAATAATATTAAATAAAATAATATCACTTAACTTTAGAGGACTTATTTTGTATTTATTTTTGTTTGAGTAACATTTTGAAATAACATTAACTGAAAACAAGTGATTCATATCCTAAAAATAAAATTATGAATGCCTATTTTGAAGCATTAAAGAAAAAAAGCTAATATCCAGAGCATTGTCATTGTATATTTTCTATAAAAGCCTAATATTTGAGTCATTTATTTTAGGCTATTTATTTTAAAAGCTCTCTGGATAGTTTTTATATTTTTATTTAGTACTTTCTGTGTCACTTAATACATAAATACAACATTATTCTTACCTCACAAAAAAATTTACAACAAAAACCTTCCCAAAATATTTCTCAATTTTTATCATTTCGGATTCTCTCTTGGGCCTAATATTAACTCCAAACTTCATATTCACACTACGTAGCTAACAAGATATAACATGAGTGTAACAACCTTGAACAGCTTAGATATTGTGCCCTCCTATCCCACCACTCCCTCCTGTACATATGGGTGCAGGCTTACACACACTCGCACACAAACAATCCCTGCTGAGTTTCCTTCAGGAAAATATTTGTTCAAGTTAACCCTGCTATATGCTTTGACATTTTGAAGGATATTATATCTCTTGCAGTTCAAAAATTCTGATTCAGATGACAGTAATTTGCAAGAATTAGCTAATAAAACTGTGTAGTATTTCATTAGACAATATTTTATTCTACAGATGAAAGACAAATATAACTTTTTTTTTAAGAGACAGGGTCTCACTCTGTTTCCCCAGCTAAAATACAGTGGTACAGTCATAGCTCACTGCAACCTAGAACTCCTGGGCTCAAGCGATCCTCCTGCTCAGCCTCCCAAGTAGCTAGGACTACAGGTGCACGCCACCATGCCTGGCTTATTTTTTTTATGTATTTTTAGTTGTCCAATTAATTTCTTTCTATTTTTTTTTAGCAGAGATAGGGTCTCGCTCTTGCTCAGGCTGGTCTTGAACTCCTGAGCTCAAACAATCCACCCACCTCGGCCTCCCAGAGTGCTAGGATCACAGGTGTGAGCCACTCTAACCGGCCTATAGTTTAAGTTTTAACATAGGTGTATACCCATTAACCATCACCACAATTAAGGTAATTAACATATCCATCTCCCCAAAAGGTTTCTGATGCTCTTTTGTAATTTTGCCTTCCTAACTCTTCCCTTCCCTAACCCCCACCCCTGACAGTCACTGATCTGCTTCATCTTACTTTCTAGAGTTTTAAATACCACAATTTCTTTATCCATTTACCTACTGATGGGCCTTTGGATTGTTTCCAGTTTGGAGCTACTACAAATAAAGCTAATATCAACATTTGTCTACAAGTCTTTGTATGGACATATGCTTTCATTTTTCTTGGATAACACCTAGGAGTGGAATGGTTGGATCATATAGTTGGTTTATGCTTTTTTTAAGAAGCTGCCTGACTGGGCGCAGTGGCTCACGCCTGTAATCCTAGCACTCTGGGAGGCCAAGGCAGGAGCATGAGTGGCCTGAGTGGCCTTTGCCCCTTTCTTGAAAATTAGTTGTCTATATATAGTGGGTCTGTTTCTGGACTATCTATTCTGATCTATTTGTCTATCTTTACACCACTACCACACTATCTTGATTATTATGTAGTTTTATAATATGTTTGAAATCAGGTAGTATTAATCCTCCAACTTGGTCCTTTTCGAAGTTGGTTTGGCTATTTAGTAATTAAGGTCCTTTCCATTTCCACATGAATTTTGCAATCAGTTTGTCTATTTCTATAGCAAAGCCTGCTTAGAATTCCAGATAATATTGCATTGAATCCATAGATCAGTTTGGGAAGAATTTACATGTTAACAATATCTAGTCATCTGACCATTAAATCGATATTTCTCCATTTATTTACATCATCTTTAATTTCTCTTGGTAATGTTTCTTAATTTTCAGTATATAAGTCTTGGACATAAAGTGTATTGGTCTTTGGTTGATTTATTCCTACATATTTCATATGTAAATAGTACTGTTTTTAAGTCTCAATTTACAATTGTTTGTTGATGGTTTATGGAATTACTACTGATTATTGTATGTTGTTGTTGTATCATGCCACCCTACTAAACTCACTTGTTAGTTATAATAGCTGTTCAGTAGATACCACCCAGTTTTCTACACAGTCGTGCAAATAAAAAAGTTTTATTTCTTTCTTCACAATCTGGGTGCCTTTTACTTCTTTTTCTTGTCTTATTGGACTAGCTGAAACCTCCAATACAATGCTGAATAGAAATGATGAGAGTAGACATTCTTTTCTTGTTCCTGATCATATGGAAAATGAATAGGAAAGCATTTTACCATTAAGTAGGATGTTATTGTAAGTTTTTTTTATAAATGCCCTTTATTAAGTAGTTTCCTTCATTTCCTAGTTTGCTGAGAGTTTTTATCAGCAATGGACATTAGATTTTTGTCAAATGCTTTTTCCGAATCTATTAAGTAATCATATGATTTTTCCTTTTTAATTTGTTAATATAGTGACTTACATTGATTTTCAAATGTCAAAGCAATTTTGCATGCCTGAGAAGAACCCTACTTAGTAGTGCTATGTTTTCCTTTTTATAAATTATTATATTTGATTTGCCAAAATTTTATTTAGAATTTTTTGCATTTT